TAGGGTTTAGGGTTTACGGATTAGGATTTAGGGTTTAGGGTTTAGGATTTAGGGTTTAGGATTTAGGATTTAGGATTTAGGGTTTAGGGTTTAGGGTTTAGGATTTAGGGTTCAGGGTTGGGGCATAAGGGCTCAGGGATTGGGGGTTAGGGTTCGGGGGTAATTGTGGTTTGGAGGTAAGCGTCTAGTGTGCTAGTTTGTTTTGGGATGTGCCGGTTGAACCAGGCTATAGTTCACTTCAGCACCTTATTGTAAGAGAAAGGCCTAACTGACGTCCACGGGTTTCTACAACGAAGTAGGCCCTAGACCCTAAACCCGACACCCTCGACACTAGATCTCCCGTGCTTTCGGACAACCAGACCCTAAATCCTAAAACCCTAAACCACTCAACCTTAGCTGCCTCGAGTGGACACAGAGAACTCAGGAAAACAATTAACCACACAACCATATGCACGGAAATCCGGAATACTAAACCCTCAACCCTGAAACCTTAAACCATAGACCCCAAACCCAAACCTCTAAACCCAAACCCCCTAAACCCTAAACCCTGAACCCTAAACCCGAGACCCCTGAAAATTTGACTTCTGAAGGCCAAGGCCCCAGGGCTTTTGATTTTCTGTCGTGCGAGTCTGTGGGTAGTTCTCTAAATCAGGGTCCCTTTTAGGGTCCTTTTCGTAAGGGTGCCGTACCATACTGGGGATCCAAAAAGGGACTTTAATTTAGAGAACTACCCGTGTGCTGATGGCCTCTGATGGTTTTGGGCGGCAGGGTGGCTCCTCGTCTTCTGCAGAAAACCGGCATAATGGGTTTAGGGTTTAAACCCCTAAGCCCTAAACCCTAAACCCCTAAACCCCTAAACCCTATCTAAGCCCTAAACCCTAAACCCCTAAGCTCCTAAACCCCTAAACTCCTAAACCCTAAACCCCTGAACCCTTAACCCCTTAAAAAAAACCCTAAGCAGTTTAGGGCTTACATGAGGTTGCCAGGGCCTCCGTAGCGGCTCAGGCCTGTTCGGCCCAGGGCAGCCGCCTGCAATGCCAAGGACGGGAGGAAGGCTCCTTGGTGGGGCGAGTCGGAGATCAGTCACGGAGTACACAGAGATCGACGAGTGAGTAAATAAATACATGAATAAATAAGTAAAGAAAAATAAATAAATAAATATATATATATATATATAAATATCTTTTTCATATGAAGCATTATGACATCGTGTTTGGTGAACTGTCACGGTTTAGAAGGGTTGAGGGCCTCGGGTTGGGGCCTCCTTTTTTACGTTGGCACTCCCCTTCGTGCTTCGGGGTGCTCCCTCGAGGGGCTCCCTCGGGTTTTCCCATAGCATTGGATTGCCGGGCTTTAAGAAGATCCCTTTCACCCAACTGAGGTGTTTGGCATCGGAAGCCCCAAGCCCTACCAACATTCTAGGTAACCCTCAGGGTCCTTTTATCCAGTAGTATACCTACATAACTATATAGGAGCTACGTTAAGGCCAAAGCATTTTCCATGTGGGTACATGGATTCTTAGGGGTAAGGCCCGCCCCCGCCAAGGTGCCACAGGTTCGCGTTTGTCTGGTCGACGGATGTCCGTCATAGATAGAGGATGGATTAGTTCTTATGGTATGTGCGACTCTAAAACACTGTTTTCAAATTTTAACAGATACTCTAGGCTTCTATATTAAGCCATGATAGAACCCTATCAAACCCATCGACGCCCCGTTGTAAGACCCTGACCAAAAACCCATCTTCTAAAGCTCTTATCAACCCGTCTTGTACTTGTGAAGGGCTCTTGTATGAAAAGCCCTACGCCTACGCCTGAACCCTGCACCCCCAAAGACAGCATCCGAAGCTTCGAAACAGACGAGGTTTCATCGAAAATGGCGACGGGCTTTTGCTACAGGGATCCTCCTGCGTCGTCCGGCTTTCAAGGCTTCCAGGGTCCTCAGGATTTCCGGGCATCAGAGAGTTTCGGAACTCCAGTTCTTCGGGTTTTTTCGGGTTTTTAAGGGCTTTGTGGAGCTGAAGTTCGGGTTTTAGCAGTTTTCTACAGAGGTTTATCCGCAAACGTGTTGCATAAGGGTCCATAAGCGTTTTAGGTTTTCCATGTTTAGTCTCCTGGGGTTCTTAGTCTTACTTCTTTAGGATTCTTTTATGGTTTAAGGGTTTGAACGTTTTGGGCTGTTTGATTGGCAGGTTTTGTTGCTTTAGGCTGCTAAGGGTTTCGGTTTTCGGGTTTGGGTTGGGACTGGATTCCATGTCCGTATGTCACATATATCCTGTATGAGCCGCATGGTGAGAGCGTCTGTTGCCAACGGTTTTTTCGTGCAAGAGGAAAGCACGTGATTCATAATTTTAGGCCACCGATTGCAGTAAATCTGCACAGAGGCCGCGCAACCTCAGACCACCCCAACCCGAAACACGGGTTTTGGGCATCCGCCAGAGCCCCTTACAAAACACCCTTAGAGCAACCCTCAGAACATCCCTTATAGCAACCTTTACAAAAACCTTGTAGTAACCCTTAAAATAATAAGCCTCCTAGTAGCCCTTTCTAAGTAACCTGTATAAAACCCTTTCTAATCACCCTCTTAAATGCCTGAAGAGTGGCAAAAGCGGCTTTCAAACAGCAGATCCCCGCCAGGTGCCAGATAGCCCGCTGCCAGCGGGGTGGCGCGCACGTGGAGAAGGTCCTCCCTGCACGCAGAAACCTGACTCCCAAACCATCTCCAAACCCAAAGCTCCAAGTTAGTTCAAACCCTAGAACCCAAATCTAAAGGTTTAGGGTTTAGGGTTCAGGCATTGGGTTTGGGGTTTAGGGTTTAGGCCCAGGAAGTGCTAAACCTCCACACCCAAACATAAAGTTAGACCCTAAACCCTAAGCCCTAAACCCTAAGCCCTAAACCCTAAACAAACCCTAAACCATAAAAAAAAAAAAAAAA